AATGTACAAAACATTCCCATTCCTTTTGTTCAAGGGTTGACGAAGCTCGCAGAAGCTGTACATGTTACTTTAAGGTGAAGATATGTATCTCATCTATGTGTTATTAGGGAAACATAACAGTGTAGATGTGTAGCATTTGTCGGCATAATACATATTCTAATTATTAATATTTTCAGGTTTACATACGAGCACGTCAAGTCCGAATCTGCAGCCCATCCAAACAAAAGAAACAGCAGTTGATAACCCTGACAGTATTTATCAGTGTGCAATCTATATCTAACTGGGCCTCCTTTCTCAAAGCACTAAGGTGATTGTAAGTTACTAAGACAATCTTAGTGAAATATTAAAGAATGGGAGTTAAGGCTAACCCTAGTAAAAGTTGCTTCGTGAAAGGAGCCCCAGATTATTTGTTCCGTGTCAATCTTTCTCTTCTTGACAGGAGTCTTACAATCTGGTGTATCTTCATCACTGACTCCTCTGGCTTGAGTTGCCTAGCAACCTCATAACTGTTTGAGTGGCTGTTCTTGTCAATTTTATTGATCTTGTGGTGCCATTTTTCAAGGTAATTGTTATCGGTACCAAAATGATACCTAGGGGGACCAAGATCCCCCAAATCCCTCTATAGAATGTGAAGTAACAGTCGAGCAGGAAAAAGTCAGAAATCTCAACAAAGAGGCCAGCAGGGACGATGTCGTGATTCTTTCTCAAGATGGAAACTTCATCCTCGTAGATCTCAGGTACAGGGATAGTTTCTGTCTTGCAACACCGAATCACTGAATATCAGCTTGGCTTGGAATGCATCGACATAAGGAACGGTGGGTCTCAGAGTGGTTGTGTCATGATTTCTATCTCAAAGCTGAAGAATAAAATGAAATCACAAAATGAATTTTTATGGTTTAAGGAGCTTTGGGACGATAAATCAAATCTTACAAATGGAAACAAGCTTCTTTGTTTTAGATGTTTAAAAAGGATCTCATCCCTGAAACATACGTCAGAACTATAATGTCGAGAAATCTCAGGAAATACTTATCCAGATTGCGTTATTGAAGCCTCCCCCTCCATATTAAAACTGGACGCTACAACAGACCCCAACCCCCTTGGGACACAGAGTTTGCAACTTCTGCCCAAATAAAGCTGAAAACGAAATTCACTTCCTCTCCGAATGTTCACTAAATGAACACAACAGATACGACATTAAACAAAAATATATTTACAGCAACCCCACAGATCTGTTTGTAAAATAGTGTGACAAAAAAAAAAAAAAAAAAATATCAAACGCTCTGCAGATAATGTCAGAGATATGTTTTTTAGACGCCAAATATTCCGTTAACTCCCGCCACACCCCTAGATTCCATTCCTATGTATTATTTTACTCATTTTATACCACACCTTTACTTTTTACCAATGCGTTATAAATATTTCGGGCGGTGGGGTAGCCTAATGGTTAAAGCGTTGGCTCGTCACGCCGAAGACCCGGGTTCGAATCCCTACATGGGCACAATGTGTGAAGCCCATTTCTGATGTCTCCCGCCGTGATGTTGCTGGAATATTGCTAAAAGCGGCGTAAAACCAAACTCAGTCAGTCAGTCAGTTATAAATATGTTTTAAATGCTAGTGTCTCAAAAGCCAGGATATGTCCGGGTGTTAAACATTATTTCAATTGCTTGTACTGCATCATAATTCTATGTTTAACACGTGGCACTATAATAAACTAATTCTGTCTGTCTGTCATGATTTCCATCTCTGTGCAGCATGTTGTTTTCATTGAGGAGATCAGCTCTACATTTAGCTCTGACACACTTCCGTCAAGTTTTGTCACCTCTCTCTTCCGATTACCATTGAATTTGTGATCACTGAAATAGAGATGTTCACCGCCGCGCAAATTCGTAAAGAATATATGTCCAACCTGTGCAGCTGCCATTTTGATGCGGTTACCCTCATACACCAAAAGCCGGATTTCCTCATTACTGCAGGGGCTTATTTGACGAGACAGGCAATCAGCCTGGACAGAATATGTATTACTTTCGACGTACAATATTATTCAGAATACATGCATGGCGGTGGTACATATTGCTATATTTATCATACCAACTCCAAACATTGTGTAAGGGTTGTTTATCTGGAGGACGTGTAGCCTACCGTTAGGGAGAAAACATAACTTTCTGAGTACATGTGCATATTTTCTCCTACTTTTGACACTTAAGTGTTAAAGTGACAGGTAATGATCTTTAAAAAGCAATGTATACAGCAATTTAGATACAATTCCAGCCTAGTATGTTGCCATGTGTACACATGTGTAGTATATACAGAGAAGTTCTTCCAAGCTCCCCAAATATCATACTGATATCATACTATCATTGAAAACGCACCAGTCTAAAATTGTCCATATTTTCATCAAGATGGATTTCAGCATGACAATGATCAATGGATATAACTAACATGAAGTCGAAGGGCATGTCCAGTTGAAAAAAATGCTTTAGAAACAAACTCCTGTCCACAGTATGACTCTTAATTCCAAAATGCATCAACATGCAGCCACGCCATGAAAAAAGCGCGAATTTCATTCTGAAATCATACTGACTGTGACATTAAAAGCGGGTGTATGAGAAGCGATTGTCATTGCTTCACTAACGATTGTGAAATGCAGGGATATTGCTAAACAACTTAGACTTGGCCACTCCACCATCGTTAGGCTTCATAGACGACATCAGTAGACAGGTAGCACCCGTGACCTTCATTGACCTTGGCAACAACGTGTTACGACGCTCCATCAGGATCGCCATATTGACCTTGTCCATATCAGTGATTGAACACTGCCGACTGCCACGCCTGCTGCACAAGTTCAAGGTTGACGTGAGGGTCATCAGCGCTGACTCCATGCGACGCCGTCTACACGCTACAGTCTTCCATGCTCGACGTCCTTACGTTGGACCAATTTTGAGTGACAGACACCGTAATGAGCGTATACAATGGGCTAGCATGCATTTCCAGTAAAGGTTACAACAATGGCATGGTTTGGTAGTCACTGACTTCATCTACGTAATGCTGACGGCCGATTACTTGTTTGGCGTAGAAGTGGTGAACGTTATGCTGATGAGTGTGTGGTTCAGACAGACCTTTGGATGGTTGGAGTGTCATGGTCTGGGGTGGAATAAATTACAATCACAGGACTGCCATCATGTCTGTCAAGGGAGAGTTCATGCCCTTTATTACCCTGAGCAGATTCTTCAGAATCTCATCGTATCTGTCTTCAATCACCACCAAGATGTCCATACTTTTCAACAGGACAACGCACGGGCACACACAAGACTTTCCATGCAGTATCTGGCCCAGCAACACATCCAGGTTATTCATTGGCCAGCACAGTCGCCAGATGTATCCCCAATGGAGCACTTGTGGGACGAAATTGGTCAAAGTCTTTCGCGGCGACAACAGATGCGAAACATCCAGGAACTACTGCAGAAGTGGAATGCCATTCTCAAGAACTCTATTCGGACGCTTATTTACTCGATGAGGAGACGTTGAACTGCATGTGTCAATGCAAATGGCGGTCACTCGCGATATTGAATTTTCGATTTTACCCCACGTGTGTTTGATCCTTTCTGACTGTGGGACATTTCAATGAATGAGCGTCTTTTCTGTGTTGTTGTTTTTGTCAGTCGTCCATCTGTTATTATCCACTATTGGTGCGTTTTCAATGATGTTCAGTATATATATGTAGGTAGGGTTATTTCTTTGAAATGGAATTAGTTTACGCACGTCTACACGTACCTTCTCAATACTTCTTAAGGCCCCAACCCCAGCTCAAATGCAGCTGTGTTCAATACTTAGTTGTCATGACTGATGCATTATCAAGTCACAAAGAAATCATATCTGTGACCAGTGAAAGTTATATACTTCAGCGCTCCAGTGAAGACAGCGCTCACACTCTACACCTGATTTCTTAGTGGCCTGACACATTCCGAACTGTTGTGGAAACTAACACAGAAGAAGATGTTGAACTGTTAGTCAGTTATCAGCCAATCATTCTTGGACGCAAGATTGCATACTAATTTCTCAAGATAAAGCACAGCCATTCCCAAGACAACAACTGAAGTGATTTGGCAACTACTGACACACTACAAATCAGGATAAATATGAGATGCTGAAAATCTTTAGATATTCAAATAATAGTGAGCATTAAACTATATATGTATTGCTTCAGCAGCAGTATAACACGAACCAACCAATGGCTTTGAAAATATTGCAGGACATTTCTAAAACTACTGATAAACACTACATGCATTAATTGGTTTAATTAATTAAGACGTTCAAACAAGACAAGATACCAGGTGAATTGTTTACATATTTTATAACTCTTCTAAATCCAGAAATAATCACAGAAGTTACAATCAGTGAACATGTTGAAGGTTGTACAGTTGATCATAAGTCTCCTTACTGTGAAGAGTGTGATAATACAAGGAGATAATCAAGTAAGAAATTTAGAAACGTAGAAAATCTCTACGACTTGACGACACCAGGAATATTCAAAGAGTTATATGATGTTTTTTCTGTAATATTTATGCATTCTTTTTAACAAAGTACTTAAGAAGGGATACTTTCCACAAGCTTGGAACAATGGACTTTTCAAACTGAATAGCCATGAACAGCATGAACAGCATGGCCTCATTTTCAGTAAGGGCGGTGGGGTAGCCAAGTGGTTAAAGCCTTGGCTCGTCACGCCGAAGACCCGGGTTCGAATCCCCACATGGGTACAATGTGTGAAGCCCATTTCTGGTGTCCCCCGCCGTGATGTTGCTGGAATATTGCTAAAAGCGGCGTAAAACCAAACTCAGTCAGTCAGTCATTGTCAGTAAAAACGAAATACAATCTGTTAGGGATCCTAAAACCTTAACTCGGGTTCCTCTGTGCAAATATGACTCATTTTACGCCTTTTACGATATAGGCTGTGTTTTGTTCACTTTAGCATACAGATAAACGTGTTCAGGAACTGCAGTACATCAATTTACGGTTTCTTCTACCCCGTTTACTCTTGTCTTGTGCTGCGTTGCGTTGACAAAACCAACTGATGAGTACAGAACGTTGTCGACCATAACCAGTTCATCTCTATCCTCCACAGGACCTGTGTCTGCTTTACCTTGAATACCCTGGGATGTGTGTCTTCGCCTTCTGCAAATACTGGTAAACAGCAGATTATAGTGTTAGTACAACGTGGAGTACTGGTGGCAAACATATGCGTTTAAATAACGTCAATGTCTTTGTGTATACGTGTCTTTAGTGTCTTCGGTGAAGTCTTTGGTGACAGACACATGGTGTTTAAGTAACGTCAATGTCTTTGTATAGATGTGTCTTTTGTCTTTGTGAGAGACACATGGTGTTTAAATAACGTCAATGTCTTTGTATAGATGTGTCTTTTGTCTTTGGTGAGAGACACATGGTGTTTAAATAACGTCAATGTCTTTGTATAGATGTGTCTTTTGTCTTTGGTCAAGTCCTTGGTGAGAGACACATGGTGTTTAAATAACGTCAATGTCTTTGTATAGACGTGCCTTTAGTCTTCAGTGACGTACTGGTGACAGACACATGGCGTTTAAATAACGTCAATGTCTTTGTATAGATGTGTCTTTAGTCTTTGGTGAAGTCTTTGGTGAGAGACACGTGACGTTTAAATAACGTGAATGCCTTTGTATAGACGTGTCTTTAGTCTTCAGTGACGTACTGGTGACAGACACATGGCGTTTAAATAACGTCAATGTCTTTGTATAGATGTGTCTTTAGTCTTTGCCTGGAAATGCTCGATAATAGTTTAGACTAAGTGCACATCCAGATAGCAAACCCTGAGTGATATCGTATGTTTGTGAATTAGTGAGTGAGTGAGTTTAGTTTTACGCCACACTCAGCAATATTCCAGCCATATGGCGGCGGTCTGTAAGTAACCGAGTCTGGACCAGGCAATCCAGTGACCAACAGAATGAGCATTGATCTGCGCAATTGGAACCGATGACATGTGTCAACCAAGCAAGCGAGCCTGACCACCCGATCCCGTTAGTCGCCTCTTACGACAAGCATGGGTTACTGAAGGCTCATTCTTACCCGGACCTGGGTATGTTTGTGAATGATATACTCTGTAAGGTATATTGCGTTTGTGTCTTACCACAAGCCACATATCGCTATGGTGATCAGCGCCACTCCTCCAGTCACGCATGATATAATGATCCATAGTTGTTCTTTGTTTTCTGTTGGCAGACACATCTTCATTACTCCCGATATCATACATACGTATGTGTCCGATTAAAACAAACCTCCGAGGACAAGAAAAGCATAATCGCATTGGTATCATTAATGGCAGTTCCTGTCCAACATTGTTGACCGCAAAACTTGTTCAAGAACACAATTGGTAAATGTCATTTTACAGGTAAAAACTTCTCATGCACCAAACTAATTCGAGAAAGAATACTTAAATTAATCTTTGTGATATGTGCCATAAGTATGATAATGATATCTTATCATAACAATTAAATATGTACATTGTAGACTATCCTACCACATATTGATCTTCAATAATGGTAAATTATATACATATGATAATAGACTGAGTGATGAAATCTCCGTTATGTGTCACTGTGAGTGAGTTTGTTTAGTTTTACGCCGCACTCAGCAATATTCCAGCTATATGGCGGTGGTGTGTAAGTAATCGAGTCTGGACCAGACAATCCAGTGATCAACAGCATGAGCATCGATCTGCGCAATTGGGAACTGATGACATGTGTCAACCAAGTCAGCGAGCCTGACCACCCGATCTCGTTAGTCGCCTCTTACGACAAGCATGGGTTACTGAAGAATTATTCTAACCCGGATCTTCACGGGTTCATAAGCGTGTGAAGAACTGACAATATACTTGGATTGAACACGTTAACTAAATATCTTAAGGCTGTTTGCCTAATTACAAGTCAGGGTTCGAACGCGTAAACTCTACAGCACACAAATGCTAACACAACTCTGACTACACCCTACGGTGGTTTAATGTATGTATCGTTTTGGTCGTGCTAAATACTCCCAAACAACATTCTATCCCACGTGCACGCAGAGCCATGAAAATAGTGCATTCACGCGCCTCGACATATATGCACTGGGTGCAGTTTGAGCAGTTCAAAGACGAAAGCCGAACTGTCTTCAGAACAGGTGTCTGAGAAAATATGAGGTAGGTCCATAAAAGAATGTGGTCGGTGGGGTAGCCTAGTGGTTAAGGCGTTCGCTCGTCACACCGAAGACCCGGGTTCGATTCCCCATGGGCACAATGTATGAAGCCCATTTCTGGTGTCCCCCGTCGTGATACTGCTGGAATATTGCTAAAAGCGGAATAAAACCCAACGCATTCACTCACTCACTCATAAAAGAATGTCCATTGTCCACATAAACATCACGATAATAAAGAGAATGAAGATCATATTCATATATTTATGAATCACTATCCAGTAGTGAATGTACCAGGTGTCAGAGAAAGGATGAGCATATCCTGACACATTGGTGGAACTCGTCATAAACACTCATTTTCAAGGGACTATCTAGTCACTGAAAATAATATCTCCCTTACCTGGCGTCGATGAGGTGCTTGGGCCCACTAATACTGGCTCACTGCAGTTCACGTCTATGCCTATTATAACGTTAATACTGTTATTAATCTTACTAACATATGTTCGTGTGTTCTCAGAAACACAGAGCTTTATATATATTACATACTTGTATATGCAAAAGTATTTGGAAAGAGGCGAAGGCCATGTTCCCATAATAAAACAACATTTTAAACAGACATTATTATGTTAGAGTAAAACAATCATCACCAAGCTTTCTGATAGATAAACAAAGACATAATAATTAATATAGTCATGTTTCACTAGAATTTTTCTAAGAAATACAACGCAAAAAGTGAGTGAGTGAGTCATTTCAGTTGTACGCCGCATTTAGCAATATTCCAGCAATATCACGACGGGGGACACCAGAAATGGGCTTCACACATTGTGCCCACGTGGAGAATCGAACCCGGGTCTTCGGCGTGACGAGCGAACGCCTTAACCACTAGGCTACCCCACAGCGCGCCTACAACACAAAAAGGTACATATATTGAAAAGTAGAAAAAGCTGGGTATGTGTCATATGTTATACAATACCTGCTGCTTGCTTTATCACTATCTGGCCTTGAAGACGGTGACTCTGTTCATAACCTTCTTTCCGAAACACACACAGATCTGTTTCATTCTGATCGATAACCATAGAAAAGGGAACGTTTCTTCCATTGCAGTCTTTGTCAAAGAATGATGATATAATTAACGACCATTATTCCACAGTCCACAGTCATGTTTCTCCACACTGGCCTGTTTGTATAAAAGTGTAGATGGCAGCAACATCTACAGGTCAGTGAAGTCATCTCTATTTGTAGAGTGATGTTCGGTCCGCTCGCAGTTCCTCTTTTGCACATATCCACATCTGAAGAACAATTATACATAGCCTGACGCATAAACTGTGATTGTGTAGAAACGTTAAAGGTCACATGCAACCAAAAAAAATTCAAACATAATTAAAACACAATTATCACTTATTCATGACATATAATATACATTGCTGGTTACGAAAAAATATATAAACAAAATTATAAGCGTACAATCGCAAATCGAAAGTGCAAAATTGTGTACTTCGGTTTACTTCCCAAGAAACGAAGCAGCCGGGATACCGAACCCAGTCAGAGCGGGTGGGTGTGCACTCAAATGTGACGGCTGATTCATTTGCAGATGCCTTCACGGCTAATTGTGTGTATATATATAGAGAGATGTTGGGTTTTGTAAATACATGCTCATTTTTTGTGTATAACATTTTGCAATCAACAGACATCTTAACATGTCATGTGTTCAAGTATCACACCTGCCTGTCTGTGTAATTACATAATGTGACAGAGACCGAACTCGGGCCATAAATCAATGCATTTTCTTTATGGTGTATAGCCTGATTGGTGTTAAGTTCAAATTGCATGTGGTCAGTGATAGCAGCTGTGTATTGAATATTGTCATTAGCAGACAGGCAGGCAGACACACAGGTGTCAATAAAACAAGACATTGAGTTTTGTCTGTGACAACGACATATCTACATATATCACAGTGTAACAGGAGGATGCTGTTTCCGGTCCTCAGGTCCGCAGGATTCAGGGGTTTAAAGTCATAATGATAACCAAACACAAGATTTTGTAAATCAAATCAATTTATTTTGTACTCAACTAATATATATCATAAAATCAACAATAAACTAAGTTAATTAAACAACAAAGATAAATAATGCCTACAAGGATCCTGTGAAAATGAAAACCCTATAAAATATACCTATACTATTGCCCCTTATCCCAACTTAATTCCCCTAAATAATGTTCCTGTAAAAAATACAACAAAAATTAACTACCTAACATTATCTAACCAAAACTTAAGAAACTTAAAACTCTGTTTGCCCAGTCTACAGAAACAATAGTGAATTCCTCACCTTTCTTGTCTCTGTAAGACCCCAGAAGTCCAGAGGAAAAAATAATCTACCCTTTTATACCCCTACCCTATAACTCTTACCCAATAAAAACCATGCTCTCAAAATTACCCAATAAATGCCTACAAAAGAAAAGTTCAGTGGACTGATCCCTCTGCTCATGAGATGCTCATGCACTGGCACATCCCATTGCATAATGGGGAAGAAGCATACTAGGCACTTGCCTAGCGGGTCCTCACCCCTCAAGAGCTAAATGGACCAGCCCACTGAAGGCTAAGCCTAGTGTGTTATTTTTAACCCACCTTATGCCTAACCTGTCCCCTCCCTAAAACAAGCCTGATTTCTACTAAAAAAATAACCCTACCATTACAACAGTTAGAAATTCTGTCAACGCTAAATAATGACACTGCTTTTAAGTATCGAACTGAGAAAGTGTCTCGGTAAGAAGAACGTGTGGTGAAATAGACAAATGAAATTATATAAACAGTTAATTTACTGTCATAACATATAAAAAGCTCGCGCCTGTGAGATATCAACAAAACATTAGAAAAATAGCTCACACCAAAGCCTTCACCAAGTATTCACCCGACAACCGCTTCCAAGCTGCGCGAACCTATTTACTTGCGCACGTGCTATGAGCGCAGCCCAGCTGTTGAAACCCGTTTTCCCCAGAAAAGTCGGGGGAAAATTAGTGAAACGTTTGAACTCCGATTTCGCGCGTTTTTTTTCATCGCGTTATTTTTCAACTTTATAAGTTGAATTTGCATTTTTGACGATTTGTTTCGGTCTGTCCATACCGAAAGGTATCAGAATCTGCAAAGTTGTGTTTTACGTTGCATGTGACCTTTAAGACAGTGTCTAGCTAGCCAACCGGCTGATTAATAAGTGTTAACACAAATTTCATCCAAGTTAGCGGGAATTCACTGTTTTAGTGATGAAATATTTTAACCATTCAAAATGGACGCCACTCTAAACATCCAAGAAGTAAATCCAAATTTAAGGTCATGGGCTTAAATACGGAGAAAATCCCCGAATTTGGGCCTAAATACGGGAGTTCCTGGTAATATAGCCCTTAAGTATATAATTTCCTGAAGACGAACAGCTTCAAACTATCGTTGCTATAGTGTTTTGCATATTTAGTATGGCCTCAAAATCATTGCGTATGATCATTCAGAAACAACTGTGGAACATTATCATTGCTAAATAACGCTTCAAAGATTATGTCTAACACGCGTTGGTACATCCGGGAATTTAAAATCAAATTTTTAAATCAAGATGTCATGAAGTAAAATGTATAACCAAAACTAAGATCCAGTGCCTCCATCCCATCATTGCACATCTGAACAACCGCTACACATATAGTGTTTCATTGTTCCTCCCTACCCATTTAATCAGGTAGCTGACAACTTCAGGTGGTTGATATATCCTGGTCCCGTCTCACAAACCGAGTTCAGCGCTAAGACTGGAGTAAGTCGAGTATAAAGTACAGAGGTTGCGATAGACAAAGAGCAGCGGTTGCTCCGCGAGACACGTGGTACCCTGGGGTACAAAACGAACCTATCGCTAAGACGGCCGTAACCCTCACACTGGAACATCGACTTAAACTGGTGATAATGATACTGTCTTAATAGAGTTGTTAAGTATCGTTGTTAGATTTTATATTTTAGTGAATCGATTTGTTTCTTGAATATAATTGTGGACTGATGTTGCTAGAATATTACCTTCAATATCATTAAATCGGCTATCACTGTACAGGATAGTTTTGATATCAAATCCTTTGGCGTAGAAGTATTTGTTTTGTCTCAAATGATTAAAACGAGGACACACAAAAAAAATAATGTAATGGATCCTCTGTGTTATAGCCACAAGGACAGTAGGGGTTTTCAGCTAAATGCCTATCAACAAGGTGAGAATTCAAATCGCTACAACCAAGACGGAGTTTGCATATTTTATCTGACAATGGCGTGATCCGAAGTTAGCATACTTTTTGAAATTTGGACTAAGAGGTCTATCCTTGTTAATGATACGTTTGATCTGCGCAAGTGTTTGGGTGTCTCTGGTAGCACTAGCGAGGGAGCTCCAAATTTGGACGGTAGAAAGGAAGTATTGTAAGATGTGGATCTACCCATTATGTTCCGTATGTTACTAGAATTACGTAATTCATAAGTAGTCAAATCTGAAATGTCCGGAGGAACACAGAGAGATAAGTATTGTGGAGCCAATCCATTGACCATTTTATAAAATATACACAGTTTATGGAAGTATCTTCTTTCGGTCAATGAACTGAGTCCAGTTTCTCTGTATATACGTTCGTAGTTTGTACCTCTTACCGCGCCACAGATAGTTCGGAGTGTCCAGATGTAAAGTTCCTAGTAGTTTAGATTATTCGTTTGTACAGTTATCCCAAATGTGATCGCAGTAATCAAATATAGGAAGTATGAATGATATATACAGGATGAAGAGTGTTTTGCGCTTGAGACGATATGTTAGACTCCGTAAACAATGTATGAGAGGGCTGACTTTTTTAACGATGTTAGCGATATGATCATGCCAATTGCCGTCATTTTGAAAAGTTATACCTAAGTGTTTATGGCTGTTAACTTCTCAACATAGACCTATTCGCAACATGTGACAATTTGGATCATTTTCCCCCATCACTTGTAAGTTATACCTTCCCCAAGTGTTTATGGCTGTTAACTTCTCAACATAGACCTATTCGCAACATGTGACAATTTGGATCATTTCCCCATCACCTGTAAGTTAAACCTCCCTCTTTGGTTTTCGGTAGTTGACTCTTACTCTTGATCGGTAGTTGTTGTCAAATACCAGCCCTTTATACAAATTTGATTTTTTTTTGAAAGTAGGTGAAAGGGGAGTGATACACACGGCTAACTGCTAGTCTGTCTCAAAGTCCCTGAACCGCATTATTTTCCATTCCACCCAGACCTTTATGTAATGCTAAAGACCCAAATGAAGCATGTCTAGATTTCCTTTAGAATCTTCCATCTCACTGTACGGTTTAGTCCCGATTTTGACAGTCCAAATTTTTGACAGTTAAATTTCACACTTCCGTAATTGATGTAGCCATTTGTCCCAATTATGACAGTGTATTCTTGAAAGAATTTTGCAAAAGGGCAGGAAGGCCAAACCAATACACATTCTAAACCATCTTTGGACATCTTCACGAGCCTGGTAGAAAGACGAGAGTCCTAATTTCTGAATATTCCTGTAAAGAGCTTGGCCAAAATGAAAAAGACAGCCCTTCAAGATAGTAGTGGTGAAGACTTCTCTAACGACATTATATACAGCTATTTCGAAATCCATGATGATTGTAACAGGTTCAAATATCAGATGGTGTTTGGCTTCTCGCATCCTGTTCTCTTAGTTCATAGCATTCTCAGCCTCCCTTGGCCTTCAGTGTAATTATCTTACACCGACAATCACTCCAAATAATAACTATTATCATCCCCAAGCGGTATTAGTGTTCAGGAATGTTACTTGTTCTGTACCTCTCTCAGTTTATTGTATTCACATAGTACAGCTAGTTATCCAAGTTTTGACAGTAGTCATTCTGTTAGTCCCAATTTTGACAGCGAAACTTCACACCTTAACGGATCAATGACCAAGACGCAGTCAAAAATGGGACACTCACTCACTCACTCCTTTCAATTTTGAATTTAGATGGAATTATGTGTTTCTATCAAACTTATACATATTCATAGCCTAAGCGTTAGTCTAGGCTAACTGCACATACTCCCTCATAACACTCTACTGTTTGACTGCCATTACCATCAAACTCATGAAAACGTATGTATTAATTATAGTGTGTATTTACCTTCTGCAAAACAGAAACTGACCCAGGCGTATATTCCAGCACCTGTAACAGCATATATCCAATGCATCTCCACCGTGTGTCGTGATCGGCAAATACGCTTGTCTTCTTTGCATCAGCTGCATGGAAACTGTCCGTATGAAACTCGTGACGAGGAAGTGTACGTTTCCATTGTATGTTATCTGTACACATTGTGTTTATTCAGTGAAATATAAAATAACACTGAAGTTAGCGGAGCATACATTTTGTATATTTGAATTCAATTGTGTATAGGGGGAAAGTTTAGATAATGACTAACCCTATATACTACAATGATACGGATGAAATCCTGATGCTAATGGGTTGAACGAGATATTATTCATTTTCTACTTTCCAACTCTGGCCTTTCTATTCAAAACCTTGAATATGAATGTATGCATTGCATCGGTACGCTTACATATGTTTGTGGCGATGCGTGAGTGATTTTAGTTTTACGCCGCTTCTAAAGCGGCATACAACTTAAGTCATTCACTCTCTACAGAACCATTTTCTGAGTGCCAGTTGATGTTGAACGCCATCGGATTTGGCAAGATTACTACAGCACGGTCATTGGCAACATATTTGACAACTATCCACCGTAGACCTAGCCATAGGTAACCAGGATATAAGTTGACTTAAAGAACATACACTAAACGCCAAAAGAAACGTTACCCTCCTATAACTACATTTACGAATTACTTAAAAACTATCAAGATATGTAAGGAGGTTTTAGTTTACAAGAAAGCTGAACAACACAGCTTTATGCAAATTACGAATTTATGTACTTTGTAGAAGATGTCATTTTGATTTCCACGAAACAACCTTGATGAAATAAAAGCTAATAACTAAATAACTATGGAGGGCTATTTGAGATTAAACATTGTCATTTAGTACCAACCAAAGATATAAGTACTTATCCTTTTTGCAGTATTCGTTACACATAATCTACCCGTAGCCCCTTTTCTGAATGTTCTCGCGCCGTGCTTCAAGATGTGTGTTTGTTGTATTGCAGTCAGCAATATCCCAGCTATATGGCAGTGGTCCGAAAATAACCGAGTCTATTTGAGTCAACAACATGAGCATCAATCTGCGCAATTTGAATGCGATGACATCTGTCAATCAAGTCACTCCAGCCCGTTATTCGCTTCTTACGACAAGCTACTGGGTTACTGAAGACCAACAAACAAGCAAACACAGAAAATGGATTTCATCTGGACAGCTGTGATGTCCATAAAGGGGTCTACATTCGTCCAGAAGAATATTTAGGAGATACCTGAGTGACTGTCGTCGTTGTACAGGTATGGAGTGGCATCACAACTCATAGGAGAGCACAGTTATGATTGTAACAGTCAATGGCAGGTTTGAAAGCGTATGCTACCAGGAAGCTCTTGTGGACATCATGCTCCACTCCAAATGCAAATGCAGGGACAACGTGTCATTTTGGAGGATTTTATAGGCATTACCGTTACATGGATTATGTTTGTATTTGTATGCCAAACACTCGACAGATAAAGTATTTGTGTTTGGTAGGTTGTGGGATTTGCTGGTGCTGCGGTAAGGCTGTCGAGCTTCCCTCGTCTTCTGGTGTCGTCACTGATGTTAAGGGATCCTTATATACGACTTTTACCATTTTTGTCCCAGTTACGCCGAACTGAATTTGATCAGGCGGATAATTGAGACTGGTTATTCTCTGGCATTAGCTTTTCACATACACACGGACGCAACTCGCCTCCTTAAAAGGCAGAGCATACACTGCAATCCAAAATGTACTTTGTCCGACAAATGATAGTAATAATAAGTGCATTTATTATGCGCTATTTTCCATCCGTTGCGGTTGCTCAAAGCGCAGGTATCAAGGGTAGTACTTGAAGAAGAGATGGGTCTTTAGCTTAGGCTTGAAGACAGCTAAAGATGGGGAGGTTTTGATATCAAAAGGAAGACAAAACACACACAAACACACACACACACACACACACACACACACACACACACACACACACACACACACACACACACACACACACACACACTACTACTACTACTAAAACGCCAAAAGAAACGTTACCCTCCTTCCTTAATGACGGAGGTACCTATCATCAGCTGGCGTTCTAATGCGTGGACGTCCACTTCTTGGTCTGTCTACGGGGACCCCAGTCTGCCTGAAGCCCTAAATAAGTATTTTAACCGTGATACGATGGCATCCGAGGGCGTTGGCAACAGCATTATATGTCGACCCCATCTGCACCATTTCAATTTCTTTCTCTCTTCAGCTGTTAAATGTGACAAATTTCTCGTAGTTGTGTATCATGTCTTGCATTCTAGTCTCTCTTTATACGCTATAGAATCATTCCACATGTGCAATGGAGGCAAATACTGCTTGAATATTGCTGCGTTTTGGCGATTGATATTGTTATGTGTACACAGAAAATGGAAAAATGTTACTTTGCAAGCAACAATGTTAACAAAGATCATTTTAAATGTTCCTAAACACTTTTTCACAATATCAAAGACATGTTTTACTTGTTTTCACTAATGCAAATCAGCAGAAAATGTTTTAAAAGACTGAAATCATAGGAATGATTATTTGACAATTTTACACACTCTACAACAGTTGTTTCTTGTTTCAATAGTTGAAAAATGGTGACTTTAAATGGTTTATCTTTGTCTCAAACCAGAATTATATTTCAACCTTTCATTGGGACATCTTAATCACTGTTATTGATATATTTCGGCATGGACGAAAGTAGGACAGTTTAACTCTTCTGAAAAAGATGCATTTCACCTAAATATGAATGTATTTGAGAATTTCTTTTCGTGATTTGCATAAGGCGAGAGAGTACGTTTTCGGATTGCTGGATTATTGCTGAGTGTTGCGTGAAAGTAAACTCGCTAACTCATGTTTTGCAATTGTAGATTAGATAATCGATAAAACAATGGATGTTCTTAATCGTATAAACAGAGGCAAAGCCTTTTGCCAGTCGTGTGAATTGCGATATGACGACCACCCTATTTATAGCGCGGAAGTTATTAAAAGACATGACACATGGTTATGTAAAGACCAGGAACAACCTGGTGTACATCACATGCACGTCAACCTCCAAGAGTAGACATGATCTACAGAATGCTGGTGGTTCTGCTGGGGCTATACACAGGTGAGATGCACCTCAGATTAGCCGATTCATCGATCTATTGCATTTGGCCATGGTCCTGTGATTGACAGCATGAACATCGAGCTCATCATATATAGTATCGATATCGTATAAAATAAATTTGATTCTTATCCGAGTTCAATCTTTATTTCATACTGAAATGCCACAGGCCTTCATATATCTATTTCTTAACGATAAGTATGCTGGGCAAACGCATAAAAAATGAAATTCATCTTCGACATCATTTAACTTGCACATTTCTTCTCCATTATTACATCTTTTACAAGCGTGCGTCTGTCTGTCTGTCTGTCTGTCTGTCTGTCTGTCTGTATGTATGTATGTCTGTCTGTCTGTCTGTCTGTCTGTCTGTCTGTCTGTCTGTCTGTCTGTCTGTGTGTGTGTGTGTATGTATGTATGTATGTATGTATGTCTGTATGTCTGTATGTATGTATGTATGTATGTATGCATGCATGTATGTATCTGTATGGATGGTTGTAATGATACATTGTATAGTATTCACAATTTCCTGCATAAATCACTTTCAAATTTAACTATTTTACCTGGTACAGGTGGGGATGCTTCGGTACAACATGCGGCAGGTCAAGGCCCCAGCAAGGGTTCACAAGGGTCAAGTAACCGGATGTTTGGGAGGTGCAGACGGTGTCGGGTGCGCGAGGTCAACATGGTGTTCCTGCCGTGCGGTCACATGGTGTGTTGTGCCGAGTGTGGCGTCATCTCCAGTACCTGTGACGTATGTCACGCTCCAATCAGGGGCAGTGTGAGGACAAGACACGTGAACACGTGAACTCAAATACGTGAACTCTTATAATGTTTTTCAGGTGTTTAAAACAATGTGATATATATGTTTTATTTAAACAAGCAATGCATGAAGCAGTGAATTTACATTTTTAACTTAAACAAACGGAAGATTTCGCATCACAGGGTCAATACTTAGAACTATTATGGTTTAATTTGTTAAAGGAAACGATCTGATTAAAGTTTCATACTACATATATGTGTGATGTATTTTTTATGCGTTTCCCGCAGTGAGTGAGTATGGTGTTACGCCGCCTTTAGCAATATTCCAGCAATATCATGGCAGGGGACACCAGAAGTTGTCTTCACACATTGTACCCCATGTGGGGAATCGAACAGTAATGACGGCGGCATGTTGCATCATTCACACAGAAAAACATCTCTCAACATATTGATTTTGTGAAAGCAATATAATTCCCAGCCCTTACCCAACCAGTGTGAATAAAACCAGATATTAACATATTATGTCTACTTAACCTGGAGACTGATGTACAACACCGACTTCAACATGAGCATGTGGGATCATATGAATAACTATGAATCAGTGATCGATTATAGTTTGATCATTAGTGGCACTCTTTTGGGCGGCTGCCATATGAACATCTGTTATTGTCTTTCCGTATGTGATGCCCGGTAGGTAAACAAATTAATTTCATTTTGGTTAACAACAAATTTTGGGTGTACATTAAATAAAATGTGATCCCTATACATATACTCCCACCACACACACACGCGCTAGCTCTCGTCACATCTCCCCATTCCCCTCCCTCCCCCACTTCTTCCAAACACTTATAGGTCCTATTTCTCCCATATCTCTCTCTCTCTCTCTCTCTCTCTCTCTCTCTCTCTCTCTCTCTCTCTCTCTCTCTCTCTCTCTCTCTCTCACACACACACACACACACACACTAACTAACTAACTAACTAACTAACTAACTACTAAACGCCAAAAGAAACGTTACCCTCCTTCCTTAATGACGGAGGTACCTATCTTCAGCTGGCGTTGTGATGCGTGGACGTCCACTTCTTGATCTGTCTACGGGGACCCCAGTCTGCCTGAAGCCCTAAATAAGTATTTTAACCGTGATACGATGGCATCCGAGAGCGTTGGCAACAGCATTGTATATCGACCCCATCTGCACCATTTCAATTGCTCTTTCTTTCTCTCTTCAGCTGTTAATCGTGGCATATTTCTCGTAGTTGTGTATCATGTCATGCATTCTAGTCTCTCTTTATACCCTATAGAATCATTCTACATCTGCAATGGAGGCAAATACTGCTTGAATATTGCTGCGTTTTGGCGATTGATATTGTTATGTGTACACAGAAAATGGAAAAATGTTACTTTGCAAGCAACAATGTTAACAAAGATCATTTTAAATGTTCCTAAACACTTTTTCACAATATCAAAGACATGTTTTATTTGTTTTCACTAATGCAAATCAGCAGAAAATGTTTTAAAAGACTGAAATCATAGGAATGATTATTTGACAATTTTACACACTCTACAACAGTTGTTTCTTGTTTCAATAGTTGAAAAATGGTGACTTTAAATGGTTTATCTTTGTCTCAAACCAGAATTATATTTCAACCTTTCATTGGGACATCTTAATCACTGTTATTGATATATTTCGGCATGGACGAAAGTAGGACAGTTTAACTCTTCTGAAAAAGATGCATTTCACCTAAATATGAATGTATTTGAGAATTTCTTTTCGTGATTTGCATAAGGCGAGAGAGTACGTTTTCGGATTGCTGGATTATTGCTGAGTGTGGCGTGAAAGTAAACTCGCTAACTCATGTTTTGCAATTGTAGATTAGATAATCGATAAAACAATGGATGTTCTTAATCGTATAAACAGAGGCAAAGCCTTTTGCCAGTCGTGTGAATTGCGATATGACGACCACCCTATTTATAGCGCGGAAGTTATTAAAAGACATGACACATGGTTATGTAAAGACCAGGAACAACCTGGTGTACATCACATGCACGTCAACCTCAAGAGTAGACATGATCTACAGAATGCTGGTGGTTCTGCTGGGGCTATACACAGGTGAGATGCACCTCAGATTAGCCGATTCATCGATCTATTGCATTTGGCCATGGTCCTGTGATTGACAGCATGAACATCGAGCTCATCATATATAGTATCGATATCGTATAAAATAAATTTGATTCTTATCCGAGTTCAATCTTTATTTCATACTGAAATGCCACAGGCCTTCATATATCTATTTCTTAACGATAAGTATGCTGGGCAAACGCATAAAAAATGAAATTCATCTTCGACATCATTTAACTTGCACATTTCTTCTCCATTATTACATCTTTTACAAGCGTGCGTCTGTCTGTCTGTCTGTCTGTCTGTCTGTCTGTCTGTATGTATGTCTGTCTGTCTGTCTGTCTGTCTGTCTGTCTGTCTGTCTGTCTGTCTGTCTGTCTGTGTGTGTGTGTGTATGTATGTATGTATGTATGTATGTATGTATGTATGTCTGTATGTCTGTATGTATGTATGTATGTATGTATGCATGCATGTATGTATCTGTATGGATGGTTGTAATGATACATTGTATAGTATTCACAATTTCCTGCATAAATCACTTTCAAATTTAACTATTTTACCTGGTACAGGTGGGGATGCTTCGGTACAACATGCGGCAGGTCAAGGCCCCAGCAAGGGTTCACAAGGGTCAAGTAACCGGATGTTTGGGAGGTGCAGACGGTGTCGGGTGCGCGAGGTCAACATGGTGTTCCTGCCGTGCGGTCACATGGTGTGTTGTGCCGAGTGTGGCGTCATCTCCAGTACCTGTGACGTATGTCACGCTCCAATCAGGGGCAGTGTGAGGACAAGACACGTGAACACGTGAACTCAAATACGTGAACTCTTATAATGTTTTTCAGGTGTTTAAAACAATGTGATATATATGTTTTATTTAAACAAGCAATGCATGAAGCAGTGAATTTACATTTTTTAACTTAAACAAACGGAAGATTTCGCATCACAGGGTCAATACTTAGAACTATTATGGTTTAATTTGTTAAAGGAAACGATCTGATTAAAGTTTCATACTACATATATGTGTGATGTATTTTTTGCGTTTCCCGCAGTGAGTGAGTATGGTGTTACGCCGCCTTTAGCAATATTCCAGCAATATCATGGCAGGGGACACCAGAAGTTGTCTTCACACATTGTACCCCATGTGGGGAATCGAACAGTAATGACGGCGGCATGTTGCATCATTCACACAGAAAAACATCTCTCAACATATTGATTTTGTGAAAGCAATATAATTCCCAGCCCTTACCCAACCAGTGTGAATAAAACCAGATATTAACATATTATGTCTACTTAACCTGGAGACTGATGTACAACACCGACTTCAACATGAGCATGTGTGGATCATATGAATAACTATGAATCAGTGATCGATTATAGTTTGATCATTAGTGGCACTCTTTTGGGCGGCTGCCATATGAACATCTGTTATTGTCTTTCCGTATGTGATGCCCGGTAGGTAAACAAATTAATTTCATTTTGGTTAACAACAAATTTTGGGTGTACATTAAATAAAATGTGATCCCCTATACATATACTCCCCACCACACACACACGCGCTAGCTCTCGTCACATCTCCCCATTCCCCTCCCTCCCCCCCACTTCTTCCAAACACTTATAGGTCCTATTTCTCCCATATCTCTCTCTCTCTCTCTCTCTCTCTCTCTCTCTCTCTCTCTCTCTCTCTCTCTCTCTCTCTCTCTCTCTCTCTCTCTCTCTCTCACACACACACACACACACACACTAACTAACTAACTAACTAACTAACTAACTACTAAACGCCAAAAGAAACGTTACCCTCCTTCCTTAATGACGGAGGTACCTATCTTCAGCTGGCGTTGTGATGCGTGGACGTCCACTTCTTGATCTGTCTACGGGGACCCCAGTCTGCCTGAAGCCCTAAATAAGTATTTTAACCGTGATACGATGGCATCCGAGAGCGTTGGCAACAGCATTGTATATCGACCCCATCTGCACCATTTCAATTGCTCTTTCTTTCTCTCTTCAGCTGTTAATCGTGGCATATTTCTCGTAGTTGTGTATCATGTCATGCATTCTAGTCTCTCTTTATACCCTATAGAATCATTCTACATCTGCAATGGAGGCAAATACTGCTTGAATATTGCTGCGTTTTGGCGATTGATATTGTTATGTGTACACAGAAAATGGAAAAATGTTACTTTGCAAGCAACAATGTTAACAAAGATCATTTTAAATGTTCCTAAACACTTTTCACAATATCAAAGACATGTTTTATTTGTTTTCACTAATGCAAATCAGCAGAAAATGTTTTAAAAGACTGAAATCATAGGAATGATTATTTGACAATTTTACACACTCTACAACAGTTGTTTCTTGTTTCAATAGTTGAAAAATGGTGACTTTAAATGGTTTATCTTTGTCTCAAACCAGAATTATATTTCAACCTTTCATTGGGACATCTTAATCACTGTTATTGATTTATTTCGGCATGGACGAAAATAGGACAATTTAACTCTTCTGAAAAAGATGCATTTCACCTAAATATGAATGTATTTGAGAATTTCTTTTCGTGATTTGCATAAGGCGAGAGAGTACGTTTTCGGATTGCTGGATTATTGCTGAGTGTGGCGTGAAAGTAAACTCGCTAACTCATGTTTTGCAATTGTAGATTAGATAATCGATAAAACAATTGATGTTCTTAATCGTATAAACAGAGGCAAAGCCTTTTGCCAGTCGTGTGAATTGGGATATGACGACCACCCTATTTATAGCGCGGAAGTTATTAAAAGACATGACACAAGTTTATGTAAAGACCAGGAACAACCTGGTGTACATCACATGCACGTCAACCTCCAAGAGTAGACATGATCTACAGAATGCTGGTGGTTCTGCTGGGGCTATACACAGGTGAGATGCACCTCAGATTAGCCGATTCATCGATCTATTGCATTTGGCCATGGTCCTGTGATTGACAGCATGAACATCGAGCTCATCATATATAGTATCGATATCGTATAAAATAAATTTGATTCTTATCCGAGTTCAATCTTTATTTCATACTGAAATGCCACAGGCCTTCATATATCTATTTCTTAACGATAAGTATGCTGGGCAAACGCATAAAAAATGAAATTCATCTTCGACATCATTTAACTTGCACATTTCTTCTCCATTATTACATCTTTTACAAGCGTGCGTCTGTCTGTCTGTCTGTCTGTATGTATGTATGTATGTCTGTCTGTCTGTCTGTCTGTCTGTCTGTGTGTGTGTGTGTGTGTGTGTGTATGTATGTATGTATGTATGTCTGTATGTCTGTATGTCTGTATGTCTGTATGTATGTATGTATGTATGCATGCATGTATGTATCTGTATGGATGGTTGTAATGATACATTGTATAGTATTCACAATTTCCTGCATAAATCACTTTCAAATTTAACTATTTTACCTGGAACAGGTGGGGATGCTTCGGTACAACATGCGGCAGGTCAAGGCCCCAGCAAGGGTTCACAAGGGTCAAGTAACCGGATGTTTGGGAGGTGCAGACGGTGTCGGGTGCGCGAGGTCAACATGGTGTTCCTGCCGTGCGGTCACATGGTGTGTTGTGCCGAGTGTGGCGTCATCTCCAGTACCTGTGACGTATGTCACGCTCCAATCAGGGGCAGTGTGAGGACAAGACACGTGAACACGTGAACTCAAATACGTGAACTCTTCAGGTGTTTAAAACAATGTGATATATATGTTTTATTTAAACAAGCAATGCATGAAGCAGTGAATTTACATTCAACTTAAACGAACGGAAGATTTCGCATCACAGGGTCAATACTTAGAACTATTATGGTTTAATTTGTTAAAGGCAACGATCTGATTAAAGTTCCATACTACATATATGTGTGATGTATTTTTTGCGTTTCCCGCAGTGAGTGAGTATGGTGTTACATCGTTTTTAGCAATATTCCAGCAATATCATGGCAGGGGACACCAGAAGTTGGCTTCACACATTGTACCCCATGTGGGGAATCGAACAGTAATGACGGCGGCATGTTGCATCATTCACAAAGAAAAAACATCTCTCAACATATTGATTTTGTGAAAGCAATATAATTCCCAGCCCTTACCCAACCAGTGTGAATAAAACCAGATATTAACATATTATGTCTACTTAATCTGGAGACTAATGTACAACACCGACTTCAACATGAGCATGTGTGGATCATATGAATAACTATGAATCAGTGATCGATTATAGTTTGATCATTAGTGGCACTCTTTTCGGCGGCTGCCATTTGAACATCTAGTATTGTCTTTCAGTATGTGATGCCCGGTAGGTAAACAAATTAATTTCATTTTGGTTAACAACAAATTTTGGGTGTACATAAAAAAAAATGTGACCCCCTATACATATACTCCCCACCACACGCACACGCACTTACACACACGCGCGCGCTAGCTCTCGTCACATCTCCCTGCCCCACCCCCCTCAAACACACACACACTTCTTCCGAACACTTATATGCCCTATATCTCCCATATCTCTCTCTCTCTCTCTCACACACACTTCTTCCGAACGCCCTATATCTCCCCTATATCTCCCTCTCTCTCTCTCTCTCTCTCTCTCTCTCTCTCTCTCTCTCTCTCTCTCTCTCTCTCTCACACACACACACACTTCTTCCGAACACTTATATGCCCTATATCTCCCATATCTCTCTCTCTCTCTCTCTCACACACACACACTTCTTCCGAACACTTATATGCCCTATATCTCCCATATCTCTCTCTCTCTCTCTCTCTCTCTCTCTCTCTCTCTCTCTCTCTCTCTCTCTCTCTCTCTCTCACACACACACACACTTCTTCCGAACACTTATATGCCCTATATCTCCCATATCTCTCTCTCTCTCTCTCACACACACACTTCTTCCGAACCTTATATGCCCTATATCTCCCATATCTCTCTCTCTCTCTCTCTCTCTCTCTCTCTCTCTCTCTCTCTCTCACACACACACACACACTTCTTCCGAACACTTATATGCCCTATATCTCCCATATCTCTCTCTCTCTCTCACACACACACACTTCTTCCGAACACTTATATGCCCTATATCTCCCATATCTCTCTCTCTCTCTCTCACACACACACACTTCTTCCGAACACTTATATGCCCTATATCTCCCATATCTCTCTCTCTCTCTCTCTCTCACACACACACACACTTCTTCCGAACACTTATATGCCCTATATCTCCCATATCTCTCTCTCTCTCTCTCTCACACACACACACTTCTTCCGAACACGTATATGCCCTATATCTCCCATATCTCTCTCTCTCTCTCTCTCTCTCTCTCACACACACACACTTCTTCCGAACACTTATATGCCCTATATCTCCCATATCTCTCTCTCTCTCTCTCACACACACACACACTTCTTCCGAACACTTATATGCCCTATATCTCCCATATCTCTCTCTCTCTCTCTCACACACACACACACACACACAGAGGCGCGTTTCTCTGTTACTAGTGTATAACAAGTCAGTCCCACCTTGTACATTATACTCTAAGACATTAATTCAAATTACATCATAGTTACGCCTGGTCATGTTCTCCTTGCCGCATGAGTTGTGTGTATATTTACATCACTTATCACTCATGCTGACTTGTCAGATCTATAAACAGTCCCGCGCGTCACATTGCAGGGCTCAACACTTCACCTCAAACACCCAACCTCTGTCTGGCTACAACCAATGGCTGCACAAACATGTGAGTATAGTTTAGCTGTATCCGTTCAAATAAACTATTCTGCCAGATACACGCTCATTCGTTTGTCGCGCTCTCTCGCCTTTTCTGTATAAGGGACCAGTCATAATGTATGGTTGGGGGTTATGATTTTTATGGAAAAGCATGTACAATGTTAATTCCTCACTCCCCCCTAAAATTTATGTACAAAGTAAGTGACCCTTCCCCCATGCATGTCATATACAAAATTAATGACCCAGACCTTTAGTACATGTATATGTGTACAAAACTGATGGCAGTGGACAGGCGTTCAAGGCGTTTAAGCTTTCATATTCTTTATGTGAACAGTTATTATCCTGCACGAATATGCATTCATCTCGCAGCTCTGTTGTTTTTTCATCTCTATCTACTGTTAGCACACGTGAGCTCATATATTAACGCATGTATTTACATATAAGCCTTGCTGTCCGATATAACATGAACCTGTGGTGAGTGAGTGTTATTACGTAAACATAGAAATGAGTTCGCATTGTTACACTCCTTGCTTTTAATGTAGTTATATATTGTAGATAACTCATAAAGGCAAAAACTTATACTTTTCTTTGTTACCTAACAATTAAATAGTGTGAGTAATCAATATTTGAGAAGTGAGTTTTCCAGCTTGTTTCGCGAGGCTATTAATAGCTAGAGACTGGCGACATCTAAATATAGACGTGACTCGTGACGTCAGTGAACTTACACGGGTCGATACGTTTTCTGCAACTGGATACGCTGTTGATCAGCGTACAGTGTGTTATCAGCATTTGGCAGGATTATGTCCATTGTGCCTGTTTTATTTGTACCAAATAAGTAATACACATGCCAAATATTAAGGTAAGCTGTTTCACATAATGAATGAAGATATACCATGTTTGATGACGTATTCACGAAACAGTTCCAAATTCCTGTCATTTATCAAAGCCAAGTTAATTCTGAATTAGTTGCTGCAACTTGTAATTCCAATTGAAAGTTATTCTACATTTTTGCTTTAAATGCAGGATGTCGCATGCTGGATCACTGCTGGATGTTGATCTCGCACGAATTCCACGTGCATTTGTACGTGACCGTGATGAGGAAGTATACCGTTTGCTGGCACGAGCTGATGATGGAGACAAATCGGGTTTCGGGATTCAAGCCCTTGTGCGGCTGTCCTATAGACCCCCAGGGAAATACCCTCTGAAGTCGACCCTATTCTGTGATGAAAGGTTTCAGACGCTGAGAAACTGTCACGACGACCTTGCAGCTATGCCGCTTGAAAAACTCCGCATCATCGCCAGGGCCGGGTTTTATCGTTGTGGTACGTTTTTCATACACAAAATTTAACGATAATTTAAACACAACAACATGTTACCAAAACATTTGATGGAGCGATGGGGGTAGGCTAGTGGTTAAACCATTTATTTTTCACGCCGAAAACCTCGCTTTGATTCCCCAAATGGGTACCATGTGTGACGTATTGTTAGAACCGGCGTTAAAAGTCGCTGGAATAGTGCGACGTGTAGTATACAACTCACCCACTCACTCTACGTGAACACAACGGGCATCTACGGCACATTTCAGTGTGTAGAGTTGCGTTCCTTGGACACGCAAATCCAATATTAATGAGTTCGAATCCCACATTTTCACGTCAACGTTTCAAGGTATTCAGCACCCGTACACCTGGAATACATAAAAGGTTAAGACCCACTTTATTTTCATGTTTCCTACACCATGTAAGCGGCGGTCACATCTTACAGACACGCACGTAGTTGACCGTAGTTGGGGATGAACGTAGCAGCCCGTGGGATACCCGTATTTGACCATAGTTACACGCAGTTAGACGAAGTTAAGCGTAATTCAACGTAGATCACCGTAGTTATGACCGTACTCATGATTTGGCCGTGGTTAGACCAAGAAATGTTCAACAAAATATCTCTTCGGTTAGCTTGAATGTCAAGACCCTACTTTAACCGTAGTTTGAACTTGTGACGTGGTTGACCCTTGTTCTCCCTCGTAGACTGTAACAAACCCTACTACACCGTTGTGTTGACCGTAGTACACCGTGGTAACATGGCACTCGATTAATTACAGACCGCCGCCATATAGCTGGAATGTTGCTGAAGCGGCATAAAACTGAACTCACTCACTCACTACGATAAAACTACGGTTTACTACGTAGTATACGTTTATCACTACTGTCCAGGCTAGCTATTCTCGAAACTTCGTAAGTCCTACGAACTTCTTAAACCCATTCTTAACACATTGGCTACGATCAAAGTTAAGAATTCTTAGGGCTACGAACGTTTCGAGAATAAGGGCCCTGGGTCCCGTTCCTCAAAATGACCGTAGCGCTACGATGATCGTAACTCCCATACTTTAACATAGACTTACGACTGTCGTAGCGCTACAATCGCTTTGAGGAACGGGTCCCAGTAGAACAACGTTCACGGCCGTAAGATGTGACAGCGTCAGGCTGACAAGTCTATCTAAACTTGTGTTAAAACAAACTCTCTTATTATACATCACACTATGTCACGCTGCAACTGTCAATGCTATTCTCCAGGAATGACGACGACACTGACATGCTTCCACTGCGGGTGCCAAGCTTCAAACTGGAGGGTGGATGACGACCCGTGGGAGCGACACGCTGAGCTGAAGCCCAACTGCCCGGTAATCAAGAGGGGCGTTGTCATCTGTAGGGAAGGAGGGGTGAGTTATACAGTGAGTTGAGTTAATGTTTACGCCGCACTCAGCAATATTCCAGCTATATGGCGGCGGTCTGTAAATAATCGAGTTTGGACTAGACAATCCAGTGATCAACAGCATGAGCATCGGTCTGCGCAATTGGGAACCGATGTGTCAACCAAGTCAGCGAGCCTGACCAGCCGATCCCGTTAGTCGCCTCTTACGACAAGCATGGGTAACTGAAGATCAATATTCGAACCCGGATCTTCACGGGTAGAGTTATACAGACATGATGCATCTCAAAACATTCCAGTTCTTCTAATCATACTTGCATTTAACAATATGTCAAGAATCAAACATTTCACTTTTGGTTGCCACACTGTTTTTCTTCCATCTAATATTCATACCTAAACGGTCTTTCCTTCTTATGTGAGGTAGTCTAGTGGTGAAAGCGTCACGCCGAACACCCGGGTTCGATCCCCCTCATGGGTACAATGTCTGAAGCCTATTTCTGGTGATGTTGCTGGAATATGCTACAAGCGGCGTGAAACTAAACTCATCCACTCACTTTCTTTCAGCGACCTGTGGACCGAGTGTTGATGAGACAGGTCTCCTGCTAAGCTCCACCAACTCAACTATCATCATTAATATAACTCTATAAGTACTAAGTTTTATCTAAAACAAAGAATCCACTGTAGACAAACTCTCCAAATGCACATTCCTCATTTTTTCATTTATATATTTTACTTTGAAATATTATTTAATTGCGCATCTTTCAACCCCTTCAGTAGATACATGTATGTATTTGAGTAACATAATCTGACAAAAAGCGTGCCACCAAGAGGCAGGCTGGATCATCTTTACTAAGAACATAGGCGTAAGGAAAATACAGTTATTAAAGGAACGATGTCACACCACATTTCCCTAAGAATGCAGAATGCATTTCTCTCAATAATACTAACTATCAGCCCTCAGAGAATCTAGTATATAATTTATTCCCAAAAAATACGTATTTAGATTACAATATTAATCAAAAAGTTCGAATGAATTTATGCAACGTTGCATTAAATCGATTCTTGCGCCCTCTGCCGCCCGAACATTATTTCAAGCGAACCCCATAGAGTTATGTCCCTTGGAGCGCTCTTTACGAATATCCCACTCACAACCGTGCGACAGTTTCCAATGTACGGAGAAATAGTATAAATTCCATATATGGGAAGTGTTATCTGTTTAAAGCTGTTCACCTCGAAGTTTCAATTATCGATTTCAGGCAAGTCGTAAGGGATAATAAGTCTTTTGTTGCATCATTAGGAAGCTAAAATGAGTGCATATACACCCAATAAATAATATATAGGCCATAATATTGTCGAAAATGTGTGACATTGTGCCTTTAAGATTCAGTTTATGAATACTGTATTTACCTCTTGCCTGTTCCACACCCATCATTTATTTCTTAGTGGTCCGCTGTAGCGGTAGATGGTATAATTCAGTATAAAGCCTTGTCTAAATGCTTTCTTATACACAGAAAATTATCCATTTCAAGAGCCTGGAACAGTTTCAAGTTTGCTGGATCCATTATTAGGTATTGAGGCAAGAGATCAAATGAACTTCTTGAATAATTTTATGTTTAGCTGATCATTGAAACTGCGTTATGTGTTGAGAGCATTTTCGTGGATGTATGAAACCCACTTTTATTTAGACTGGTTTCGTTTGTGTAACAGATATACGTTTGACCATATGTTTTAAGATACCGTGGCCCGATCCACAAAGCGATCGTAGCGCTAAGGTAATCGTAACTCACATACTTTAAAGTGGACTTACGAACTGTCGTAACTCTACGGTCGCTTTGTGGCATGGGGCCCTGGCCGTTAAGTCAACTCGCGACAATACGAATAGTCAGATGCATCGTTGATGATATCCCGACGACGAGAAGCTGTTGTGTTTCTCTGGACAGGGAGTTATGACATTTTGGACAGTACTAATGGTCAGACGCATCGGTGATGATAACTCGACGACGAGAAACAGTTGTGCTTAACTGAGTTATGGCATCTTGTACAGACTGACATAAGCACCGTCATGCTACTGCACTCGGACTCAACTACATCGGCTTGAACAGTGCAGCAACAGCAGACAGGTCGTTATGTCCACGTATGTTCACGTATTTCACTTCATGGTTTTGTGGATTTCTTTGGACAACTTGTTTCACGCCCAGCAGTGAGTTGATGGAAATATAATATTGCTCGCATGGCTGGTAAGGTATGAAATGGTTACGTTTTCGTGAACATCTTGTCACATCATCAAGAAGATGCATGTGTTGTTTAGTCGGAATCTTACGATCTATGGATGACTAATGTGGTTGGTTTTTTCACGTTTGTTTACAGACTGTCCATCGAGTGTCAAAGGTTGATTTCAGGTCGTATCTAAATCCCTTTTTCGGAATATGTCACATTTGACTTACTTTGTTGTTTTAGGCTGTATTTAGTATTTAATTTCAGCATATATGCACCCTGTCTTTGTGATTGTGTTTCATTAAAACATTCCATAATCATATCTCTCCACTTTTTATTTTGTAGACATTTGTCCCAGAGAGTTGTTTGTTTGTTTGTTTGTTCAGGTGTTTGTTTGTTTCCATGTTGTTTATAGCCGCACTGAGCAATATTCCCGCTATTTGACGACGTTTTATAAAAATAGCCGGGACGAGACAATCCAGTAATTGGTAACCGGATCCCGTTAGTTTCCCCTAACAACAAGCATTGTTTCCCGAAGCACAGCTGTAACCCGGATGTTCACGTAGGTAGGCGTGACTGAGTAGCTGAGAGCTCCAAACACGGTTGTTGCATATAGCGGCTATTAGACTGGCGTGGGGAAAACCCGGCTAAATATAGACCTGACATTCGTTATCCTCTATCTGTGTGCCGACAGTCCGCAGTGCGTCTGTGCTGGAATATCAAGAGACTACTTGTACATTTTGACTTCACAGTGGTGAGTATACATCTGAACTGTGTTCGGATCTCAGTAAATCGAAATATTTTAGTGAATGAGTTAATATTTAATGTCACATCGACACTATTTCAGCATAGATAGGCGGATCCAGAAATGTTCAAACTCCCTGAACACCACCTTGTCTCCGCCTTTCCAAAAACATTAACTTCAATGTGGTCTTTAGTTATTTTCAAAGAGAGAGAGAGGGTGGGGTGGGGTGGTGGTGGTTCAAACCCTGAACAACCCCGACCCCCACCCCGGATCCGACACCGTGACGATCGAAATATTTTAACATATTTTATATAGAAATTGTAATTACCGATTTTTCAGGAAGGGCGTTTCTTATGAATACGTTTGAATCTTTAATCTTGCGATATATGACTTCACAAGTAACGTACAAACCACAGGGTCGTTTCCTCGCTTAGACACAGCGTTAGAAAGACATATAGGTATAGTATGACCAGAAATTATTGAGAATTTTAGGAATATGTTTAATTGGATTTCTAGTATAAACAACCTTGACCAAGTATCAAGTGCTTGGTTTCATTCAAGAGAGACAATTCCGTTAATCCTTTTTCATTAGTTTGTGAAGAGTTATCCCCCTTTGTTTACTTGCTAGCAGACGACATTTTCAGTGATCCTCAGTATGGATGATTTAGAGAAGAGGAAGTTGATTTTAGAGTATTATAACAAGGACATCAGATCAGCTAAAGTGATCTCAAGTAGAACAGGCATTCCTTTGTCCACTGTTTATCGTCATTGAAAAATATTGCAAATGGATATGGCATTGAGCACCAGGGAGGCACAGGTAGGCCAAGAAAATTGACTGTCGGTGACAGGAGGCGGCTTGGTATTCTTGTTTCTAAAAACAAACGAAGGAGTTTAGAAAACTTAAGGCTGGATATGATTGATAGAGGAACTGTGGCTGTCTGTAAGGAGACAATTAGAACTGAGCTGCATGCAATATGTTTGCAGAAAAGTCGAGGAATTCCATCACCGATCATGAAACCTGAACAAAAGGAGCGAAGGTTGAACTGGTGCTTACAGCATAGAAATTTTAACTGGGACAATGTGATTTTCTCAGATGAAAGTTCTGTGTGGCTGTTTCCTAATACACTGAAATTCTGGACCAAACAAACTGAAAAACCTTTGTATCAGCGCCCAAGTACAGTCCGAAATTTAACGTGTGGGATGGCATATCTGTGTTAGGGGCAACGCCCCTCTATGTATTTGAAGGGAATATGAACAGTGAGCGGTACACAGATATTATCGAGGGACATTTACTTCCATCTGCTCACGTGTTCTATGGAAATGTTTGGATTTTCCAGCAGGACAACGACCCAAAACATCGTTCAAAGCATTCACAGGCCTGGTTTCGGACCCAAAATATGACATTATTAGATTGGCCAAGCTATAGCCCTGACCTAAATCCAATAGAAAATGTTTGGGGACTTATGAAGGAAAGTGGCAATAAGAAAAATCTGACAAATATTGCTGAAATGAAAGAAGAGGTGGTCCGATATTGGGACAGCATGGACCACGACTTTCTTTGATCAGTAGTATGCCCCGCCGCATTGAAGCCTGCATTGCTGCCCATGGTGACTTGACAAAATTTAACTGTTCACCTGTCTTTGAATCTGGAGTTATGTTCTGCTAATATTCACATTTAATACGTGAGTAATGAGTGAAAATTTAAAACAAAATTACAATCTTATATTCTCAAAAATTTCTGGTTGTACTGTATATAGACCCTACTTTATATAGTACTAGGGTAGGGTCTATATACCTATATGTCTTTCTAACGCTGTTTCTAAGCATGACACGCCCCTGTGGTACAAACCAGTAAAGTAGATAGTCTGAGGTGTATTTCAGGGGCGTAGCTACCATTATAAAACAGCCCGGGCTAACACATGATTGCTGCTAAAATGGCTGGGCAAGGCCCCAAAACTATCTAAATATACAGCTCTGCAACCTATCAGGCTTACACGAAAAAAATGGCTTGCTACGCGCCTGTATTGATATTTGATGCTAAAACTTAGCAATATTGTAGAATGACATAGTAATCATCACTATATGTGGAGCTGATTTATTAGTATTCATTCCAACAGTTAATAACACACTGCAGACATTTCTTGAGTTGTCGAAGATTTGTCCTCAAGGCGCCGTGAAGATGGGCAGAGTTGCTTCCCCTTGACAGACACGGTGATCGCTGATTTCAATACCGGTCCCTTCAGGGACCGTTCATAATTAGGGGAGGGGGTGTCACCCATATTGTTCTTGGGAGGTAAGTTAGGTCATTAAAGTGTTGTGCTTAAAAATTACGGGTAGGGGGATGGCTCTTACTTTGATCCAGGTGTGGGGGGTGGGTGGGGATGTGTGTCATTCACATTGTACATTCTTTTCCATATAAAGTCAACATCAAACACACACTCTCTCTCTCTCTCACACACACACACACAATTTTGTTCTTGGTTTGACAGCACTATACTCACGTTATGTCTCTCCAAATGTGGTGAACCTTACACTATTTAAAAGCGCGTTACACTATTATTACGTAAAATCTATTCTGGTAGAATCATGACAGTCACCTGACCAGGAAATACTATTGTTTGTTAAAGAACATAATGGATTATTGCTAAATATTGATAGTTACAACACATTTCCTTATTTATAATGTATACGGAAGGTATTGGAAATAGCATTATTCTGACTAATGAAGTGATGAGGTCATGGCCTGTTGATTATACGACTTATCAGTAATTAAAGTTGAAAGGGGCGATGGTTAAGGCGTTCGCTCGTCACGACAAAGATCCGGGTTCGCTACCCCATTTCTGATGTCCCCCGCCGGGATATTGCTGAAATATTACTAACAGCGACTTGAAACTAAACTCACTCCCTCACTCACTAAAGCTGCTGATGGAGTATTAAAATTAGTACTTTGCCTTACCAGATACAGATGAAGAAATTCAGTCATGCATAGAACAATATGGCATTATCGCACATTGTAAAAGTAAAAATGTGACATTTGACTAAAATTAAAAAGTTTCGGTTAATCAAATATGTTTCTGTATATTTCTAAAACCGACATGTGTCATTCTGAAATTTAGTCTCACAGTCCCTGGAACGAATTATTTTCCCTTTCGCCCAGCCCCTTCTGCAATGTTAAATCCCTAAATGAAGCAAGTCCAGATTTCCTTAGGTTCTGCATCCCCCATCTCACTGGGGCTCCTTTTCAACTTAAAAGGAATTGCTATTCTATCAAAATTATATATATATTCAGAGACAAAGCTTTAGTCTGTCTGACATTATACAAAATCGCTATCTCGGTTCGTCAAATTGAGCCCCCAAAACCCCAAAAATAGCGAACACTCAAAATGTTCACTTTAAGCGTTTTAGCGTTCACTTGTTCTATGTGTGAGACCTCCCTATAGAACACCCGGAGTGACCCTGATGTTACATTTCAGAAACACATCTTCTGTGTAGACTGTACAGTGCTGCAGCTTATCAGCTGAGGACAGTAAAGCAGAACGAGCTGCCTATCGTCAAGTACAATGGCGTGCCAAGTTGAGAGAAGACCCCTTGGTTCATCCACTGCAAACACAAAGAACACCGGCACCGGAAGCAGCGACGACAGGAACGTCAGATACTCCACCACAGCAAATTCCTGGAAGAGCACCAGAAGTACCTATGGCGGCAGCGGTACCTGCAGTGACGACAGCAACATCATAAACAGCACCACTACCAGGGACAGCGCCAGAAGTAGCTGTAGCGACAGCAGTACCAACAGTGACGACAGCAACATCATCAACAGCACCACTACCAGGGACAGCACCAGAAGTAGCTGTAGCGACAGCGGTACCAACAGGGATGACAGCAGCGTCATCAACAGCACCACTACCAGGGACAGCACCAGAAGTAGCAGCGTTAGCAACAGCAAAAACAGCATCCCTGCCAGCAGGGTCAGCAGATGGGGCCGTTGCAGAAAGTGTTCCCAGAAAGGTGCGTCACTGGTCTTCTTGCCCTGTGGTCACGTGGTCTGTTGTGCCCAGTGTGGCCTGACGGTGGACTCGTGTATGGTGTGTGGGAGGGGCATTCGAGGTTCCATCAGAGCCGACCTACACGAACACATATAGTGTCTCTCACATAAAGAGCAGTTTGTATTTTGTAAAGTACCTTATTACTTAGCCAATGCAGGGCCTAATTACCGGATTTACCTGTTTGTAATAATATTTTGACTTGAAAGTTGACATTTAACGATTTTGAACATTTTCCTTTTGTGACGGGTTTCATTCAACTAATAAGAGAAATCATCACACATACGCACGCACACACACACACACGCACGCGCGCGCGCACACACACACACACACACACACACACACACACACACACACACACACACACACACACTACCACACACACACACAACCACATACTTACGCCCAGAAAGGAGAGGATGTTGATAGGAACAACGATTTCTCATGCATGCTAAGATGTCCACACACAGAAGAACGGGAAAGTATTACCTGTTCTGGAAATATATATTCCGGGGACATTTTATATTCAGTGAAAATATTCAGAGAGAAAGTTAGATTGCCATTATACTACAGAATGCAGTCTTGTTCGAAGGTATTTCACATTTTATGTTGGTGGTATTTCTTGATAAAGTGTGACTCGAATTCAAGACGAACCTGCGTATCAGGAGTTGCCTCCCCTACACCACAAGTTTCCACACTGATTTGTGACTGAACATTTGGCATGAAAGTAACAAGTGACATGACTTGTAACAAGACTATGACACACATACATACACGCACGCACGCACACACGTGCACGCACACCCAACCCCCTACCAACAAACACATATCATCGTCTGTACTTTAATTAATAATAAAAATGATATAGAGACGCAGCTATTTCTTGCTTTTCTGCATTCAAGAAAGGGCTCAGATGTCTGTCGTCTTGTCATTCATGATTAATGTTTTTACAACACTGTCTGCTGTGACGTCATTTCATATTACGTCAACAATGGTATCTTTATTACGTCACAATTTCTGTAAGACTGTGCTCTTCTCCTTAGAATGTAATACATTAAGCACATTGCCGACTCTGTTCTGATTACATATTAAGTATTGTTATTACCAAATATACAGAAATATATAACGTTTTATAAAATGTCATGGTAGACAGTTACAAGCCAACACTTTTCCAGCCGTTCTCCCTCAATGACAAAACTGATACAATGCCACCATAAAACCAAGACAGTTTAGCAATGCCTTTGATTTCAATCTATTTTTTATCTATTTTCGTCAATGATTTTAGTATACCGCTCTATGAAATCTGTTTCGGCAGACAATCGAGAATATTTCTGACGTTACAGTTTTGAATTTCTGTCATAGAAATAGTCCAGCAATATCAGCGGGGAACGGGGCGACTGGGTAGCCTAATGGTTAAGGCGTCCGCCCATCACGCTGGAGACCCGGGTTCGAATCCCCACATGGGCACAACGCCAATTTCGGGTGTTCCCCGACGTGATATTGCTGGAATATTACTAAAAGCGGCGTAAAACCAAACTCACTCGCTCACAGTGGAAGACACCAGAAATGGACTTCAAACACGATGAGGAATCGAACCCGGCCCTTCGGTTGGATGAGAGTACGCTTTAACCACAGAGCTACCCCATAGCCCAACTATGGTAGAGAGGAGGTCCCAGTATAGTATAAAATATCTGTACCTTAAGGCAGCAACACGATATCAGTTTCTCAACCCTTGAGACTTCGTGTAACAGCGTGTGTGTCGGTTTATTGTTGACTTTTTATCTATTAAAACGTCCATGTATTCTATTGCGATTTAAACTGATGCAATAAATACGGGTTACCTTAACAGCAATCGGTTACACCATTTTTATTGTATCTCAAAAGAGAAGTAGCATTATGTGTGCATATTATGCATGTAAATGGATATCCCTTTAAAGACACCACCCAAAAAATAAAAATAACAAATTATTTAAACAGAATGGGAATACAATAAAAGTGTAACAGATCACATCCCTGGGTGACTGCACCTGTAAGTCACACAGCGCAGGTGACTATTTGAGTGTTCTAATTCTAACATATCTGCTTAGCAATGACAAAAGTTGTAACATGTAGGGTGTGTGTGTGTGTGTGTGTGTTCATATTGTGATATATTGCGATGCGAAAGCATATATTGCAATATCTATTGCAATATATTGCAAGAACTTTTTTCTACAAAAAAACTACTTATACTCGAGTTAATGCTTGATGTATAGAGCAAAAACACAGCAAAATCATCATGTTTGATTAAGCTTTAATTAAAACTTTTAATCCTGACAAAATAATAATATAAATAATATTTGGCACAAATGAAACAAGGAAATATCCGAAGATTTCCGAGTGTTACGAAGTTTTCCGAATGCATGTCAAAATACCGGTTTTCGATCCGCGTCTCGCAATACGTATGGTTTTCATGTCTGAACCGGTAAATACCGGTAAACCGGTTATATTGCGCAGCCCTTGTAGGGGTGGGGGTTGGGGGGGGAGCCAAGTTCACTAATGCGTTCACTCGTCGCTGTTTGTACGCCGAAGACTAGTGGGAATAATATGATACGAGAAACAGTCAATTTCTGTGGCCAGTGAGTATATTCTTGTGGAAGTGGAAGCCCCCGGCAGATGTGTTTGTTAATTGTTTCAGTGTGTACAAGTCGCATATACTCGGTTTCGGCTGGGTTAGGGGCAGCGGGGTAGCCTAGTGGTTAAAGCGTTCACTCGTCAGTCCGAAGTCCCGGGTTCGATTCCCCTACAATGTGTGAAGCCCATTTCTGGTGTCCCCCGCCGTGATGTTGCTGGAATAATGCCTGTTCGTTCATGTGGGTGAACAATACACCCAACTGCATTTCCTTTTCCAAGAATGGTGTCTATTAGTGTTGGGAATTGGTTGAAATCTCACAATTGATGATTGTTTCATTACCAACGAACAATCATCGACAAAAATTGGTTAGCGTCATTTTCACATTTTCCTATTCAGGTTGTTATTGCAGATATGTATAACATGATGCACCTTGCTACTTTAAAGTAATGACTAATATATCATGAACATAAACTACTCAACGTCTTCAACTATTATAAGCCATGACTTTTCAGTTAGTGAAGTGAGTTTTCTAAGAATTAAACACGTTTTCATGCCCTGACAACTTCAACGATATGTTCCATTGTCAAGTATTTCAAAGACTAAACTAGTAGTTCCAAAATCGTTCATGTTCGATTATGAGAAACTGTGATCGATTACTTGGTCGTTTGGTCACTGCGATCAATCTTCGATTATTTCAATTAATCGGAACACCACTAGTGTCTATAGATCTATATGTTAAATACCTCGGAACCTTGACAATCAATTTTGAACTATACATGATTCCCAGCTACAGTAGAACAATGGATCTTTCATAGAATTTGAAATGCAAGTGATTTTTTATTCTTTATAGTTGAAAGTGACCAGTCATGCATTGACAGCGCAAACAAGGTACGAAAAAAGAATAAATGCAACTTCAAAACTAAACTAGTGATATGGGTACAGAACTAATGCGAAAGTGATTTACATTCAATGACCTCAGGTTATGAAATTCAGGTTAAATTTCAGGTTATGAAATATTATCTATGTTGCGTGTGGTTAGGAGGGGGTGGGGGGTGGATGTGGGGGTATATCGTATTTATTATATTCTTAAGGGTGAAATACTGTCAATATTGGTGAAAATAAAAATAGTATTTTCACTGAGTAGAATAACATGTAATTCACTGAGTAGAATATCACTTTTGCCTGGAACTACTTTCTGATTAAAGATGTCTCGATCATTTATAAACAATGATCAACATATAATATATAGAATATTTTGTTAATGTTGTCCAAATAACATGTATATTTCAACGAGTGGTCTGACAAAGTTGATATGTTCAGCAGCCACTCGTGAACATATCAACTTTGTCAGACCACTCGATGAAATATACATGTTATTTGACAACATTAACAAAATATCCTCTATATGATTAAAATTCATATCATCATTGATCGTTATTAACTTAAAGAATAATTTAGAATATAATTTACATAATTTGTGATAATTAAAGCCACTATGACATTTGAAGAAGGTAATGTGAAACTCTTAAAACAATATCATGTCGCAGGTTCGCTCTTTGCAACTCAAGTAATTGACACATTTACTTCAGATGAAACTTTCAGTAGTTCACTTTGGTGTGTTTATGTTAAAGAAAATGTATTTTGCGGTTAAGACGTCAACGAAGATATTGGCAATATATATATAGACGGGGCGGTGGGGTAGTCTAGTGGTTAAAGCGTTGGCTCGTCGCGCCGAAGACCCGGGTTCGAATCGCCACATGGGTACAATGAGTGAAGCCCATTTCTGGTGTCCCCCGCCGTGATATTGCTGGAATATTGCTAAATGCGGCGTAAAACCAAACTCTGTCAGTCAGTCCTATAGTAGACGTTGTATTTGTTATGCATTTTAACATTTGAAAGAAATACAATCAGTTTTGGGACAGTTTCTCAGTCTCTACAAAGAACTTGCAATTGGAACAATATTGGCGGGCCAAACAACAATTGTAGCAGTATCGGATATTTTTTCTGACAAGGTCCATATATATATTTGACTTATTTGACAGAGTGGTTTATATTAAAATCCCTACCTATCAAGCTTTGCCTGCACTTTTGAGCTGGATATTTTAAAATATCCCTTATTTCTCACCAGCTATCTTTGATATTATTGGCATGAGTGCTGTGAAATTAAAACGCTTTCATTACCTTTTTATGGATACATAATATTCACCTTACGCGACCCGTGAAGGTCCGGGTTAGAATGAGCCTTCAGTAACCCATGCTTGTCGTAAGAGGCGACGGACGGGATCGGGTGGTCAGGCTCGCTGGCTTGGTTGACACGTGTCATCGGTTCCCAATTGCGCAGATCGATGCTCATGCTGGTGATCACTGGATTGTCTGGTCCAGACTCGATTATTTACAGACCGCCGCCATATAGCTGGAATATTACTGAGTGTGGCGTAAAACTATACTTACTCACTCACTCTTACACGCCCTTTCAAAAAGAAGCGTCGCGGGTTCGATCCCCAACCGCGTCATACCAAAAGACATTAAAATATGGTACCTGTTGGTCCCTGCCTGGCGCTCGGCATTTATGGGTACAACAAGGACTGGTCGGCTCGGAGTCAGTATAATGT